GACTATTCCGTCATTGATGGAAATAAAAAAATCAAAGGTTCTAAGACTGAGGTACCCCACTTGTGACATTATATCTCAGTTTGACTGAACTCCATTTGTAACAATCCTCTGCTTTCTTCCATCTAGCCACTCTTCTATCCAATTTGCTAACTTACACACACACACCTATAGATATAATTTCTTTACATTCTTTTTATGTGCCACCTTGTCAAATGCTTTCTGATAATCCAGATACACCAAATCTACACCCTTACCCTCATCTACGTAAGCAGTAACCTTTTCAAAGAATGTTAAAAGATTTGTAAGGCAAGATTTTCCCTTCATGAAACCATGTTGACTATCCAATAAAATTCTAAACTTTGTTAAATAATTTTGCAAAGCATCTGTTATCAGCTAAATTTTTCCCACCACTGATGTAAGACTAGTAGGCCTATAATTTATCACTTCCCTTGAAAAGAGATGTCGCCTTAGCCAATTTCCAATCATCTGTCACTTGGCCAATGTTCTAGGACTTGGAAAAATCAGTAGCAAGTGGCTCACATATTCAACCTTTGACCTCCTTCAAAACTCTTTAGTAAACATTATCTGTCCCAGGTTCTTTATCATTTTGTAAACTTCGTAGTTTTTCTCAACAAGCTTGGAATCAATGTGATCATCTCGTTTCCATCATTTTAGTTATGCATAAGTTTTTTGTTTTTTTAACAGCATATTTGTTGATAGTTTAGAAAGAGGCTATTTTTTCCCTGCTTTCAGTTACGGGATGTCCAAATGTAGTTTCTTACCAAACAGAGTTGATTCAGTTTGTTCAAGTATAAGTTGATTAGTTCTTTGTCTAGATTCAGAACTTCTCCAGTTCTCTACAGACTTTTTCCAGGTCTGCTGGTATTTAGAGAGTTTGTATCCATGGTTTCATGTACTTACTATATTTCATTTATTCACTTGTTAGATAAATTTCCAGGTCTGCTGGTATTTAGAGAGTTTGTATCCATGGTTTCATGTACTTACTATATTTCATTTATTCACTTGTTAGATAAATTTTGTTTTCCTTTGATCCACCTTTGTGTTTAGTTCTTTTATTTTATTTTCAACTCAATCATATCAGAAATTCTGACTTTAATCTGGAAAAAATGTTGTCATTTCTCCTATTGCAGTTACCACATGGAAGGCTATCAGCATGATTGAGTATAATCAATCATTATCAGTAGTTATTTATGAAGCTTTCATTTTCTTGACGAAAGAACACAACCATGTTATAAATTACTAACCAAAGTGTGTGTAAGATGCTAGACTGCCATACCAATACCATTACTAAGACATAAGATATGTGGTCAAACACTGAGCACTGATTTCATTAGTTTTACAACACTTAGGGTCACTCAACATGAAATTATAACACTGTTTTTCATGTTGTCTATTTTCATAAAAGTAACGATGACATTCTAGAAATGCAACGGGAAAAATGTTGGGAAGTTTAATGGGAAATCAAAAGAAAACAATTTAATAATGACAGTTAACGGATCAAATATTGGATGGTTAACTCAATTAATCAACATAATTGATTACATTTATTTGTATCACATAAATAATATATTCATTGAAATTGTGATTAAATCAATTAATGTCATGAAAAATAGTCAAATAGTGTTTCTGATTATTACTGAGATTATTCCAACTTTCCATTAATCAAAATTATGATTAAGTTTATTAATGTCACAATAATAATCAAAATATTGCCATTATGACTTTACTTATTTTTGATTAATTCAAATTTGTTCAGCTTAATCAGTTAGTGTCAGAACTTACAAAAATAATCAACTAATTTAAATTAGTTTTCACATTATTTGTGTTTTTAATTATTTCAAGTGTCTAAGTCATTGCAAAATTGCCATTACATTTGTAGTCACACGGCTTCACAATGGTTGGCTGTGCTCCGCCAACGGTAGGTATCAAAACCCAATTTGTAGTGTTATGAATCATGATTCATGTCTACATTTTATTGGGTACGTATGTACTGTTTATTAACATTACTTGGGAATCAAGATATTTTACTTTATAATCATATTTTATTGTTTTACAGGGTAGTTTGAAGAGAATTGAGTGGTTGAACAAGCATCGCAATAACAGCAACTCTGCTTTATATGGCATAACAGAATTTTCTGACTTGACACCGTATGAATTTCAGCAGTTTAGTGAGTTTCAAGTACAGTATATAGATGTATTTAACCTTCTTTCATTCAGTACTTTTGAACTTACCATGACTGTCTGAATAGACTCTACTGTTATTTAAGTTGGAGGAGTAAAACACAAAAAAAGCATTTTTGAAATTGGTTCCTCTGAGTCTGTTTATGTAAGCTATAGCAGCCAATACAATAAATACTGAATTGTATTATTTTTTATACATATTTATTAGAATACAAGAACATGTCTTTATGTCTCACTTTCTTTGAAGCATGATTTTCCAATTTTTGGAAGATCTAAAGTGTGTAAAGTTACACCGTCTACCAGTTTAACTAACAGGATATGAATCACACTTAATTAGGTCAAAGTCTGTATTTGAAAACTGTGGCTATGTGAAGTGATTTGTATGTGACATTAAGTATCAAAGATTTTGATTTTACAAAATAGTATATAAAAAAAACGTGAAAATAAACATTTATTTAAATCTCTCAATATGGGTTCTGTCAATAAAACCGAGTTTGTGATGTCAAAGCAACCATCAGTTTCCATACTATAACTTTTAATATATTTTATGTATCTTCAAAAAATCTGACAAGCTTTCAATAAAGTTTTTTTGTAAACAAAGAAATCATAATTTTGACTTAAGAATTTTTACCTCCAAGTGCAAAATTATTTTCATTTTAAGATTAAAAATACTTCTCTTTATCTGAAAATTGTGAATATTTCATTTGTATAAAACCTCCTGAATAAATATAAGACTTTGTTTTTTCAGTGAAACTATACATTTTACTTATTTTCTCTACCCTAACACTATACCCATTTGTTTAACTTAACCACCAAAAAAAAATATAAAATAGATTTAAATTATCTTTTCTCTTTCTTGAATGGCTACAAATTATGACCTGAAACTACAATTATTTATCCTAAATAGTGTAAATTTCATAACATCTGTTTATACTTAATTTTATTGTTTTATTTCTCTTATAAATAATAAATCAGTCTGTGAAGAAGCAGTTCATGTTATTGTCCAATTACATGAAGCACGAGCTGCTTGTGAGCATACTTCATGGAGAACTTGTAATTATCTTGCCTAATCTAAGCTAATAAGTTTCTGATTTTTACGTTTTAGTTACATTTATAATAAGAATAATAACTAAAGAATACATAGTACTTACTTGAGCCTTCTTTTTTTGCTGTTGATTGTCAATGAAACTTAAGCCTACCGTTTATACTAATGGTACTAACACTAAATGATTTTTATTTAATTGAATAATGCACTTAAGAATACAGAATAATAACGTGCAAAAAGAAACAATGTCTTATAACTATCTTATTTTGTCTGGGTTTTTAATAAAATAACATAATATAATGCATAATTTAATAGATTGAAACATTGATTTTCTGTTGGTTGTAAACAATATTGTATAAAATGTCGGAGAGAACTGTTGGCAATTTGTGAAAAAGAGGAAGTAACAAATGGGTGTGGCAAATGTGCCTGATTTTCTAGTTGATGGCTCTGTAAATATGATTGAAGGCTATAAAATTCTGCTTTGCCTTAATAATATCTGTATTTTATACGAAATTTACATTAAATCCTGTACTTTTTAGAGGGGTGGTAAATAAATTAGAGAAGAGCGTGAGACCCAGAGAGTAAATGTCACAATTCTCACTAGAGGATTTTTTAAGAAATATTTTCGTATAAGACTTAGTTCTTAAAACTTATCTAGTATTAAAATGTATCATGTTTTTGATACCAAGTTTATTTGTGTACAATGATAATAAAGTAGTTTAATTAAATTTTAAATGTAACTGTCTGAAAAAAAGTTTTGACTTGTGCACTTTGACCAGCCTGTACTGAGAGGGTTAAAGACAACAAGGAACCTGTTGATCTATCTAGGCCATCCCATCCACTAAACTAAACTTTAAAATGAAACACTCAATGTCAGTCAGATATTTGTCATTAAATTTCCTGAATTTACTACATTTGAAGGCAACCCATTCCATTCACTAGCATAATCGTAGTTGTAATAAATGAAAATTTTGTGAAATGTTCAATTGTCTTTCTTTTCTTCAATCTTGTGTCTGAGTTTCACCAAGTACCGATGTTTCTTAATGTTTATACAATGCGTCAATACTGTCAGCCATCTTAAATTTTACACTTCAGTCAGATCCCTTGTAACTCTTCTCTATTCAAGAGATTGTGATTTCGAAGATGTTAGCATGTCCTTGTACGATAGCCTTTCCATCCCATCTCTTTTGCATTGAATTTTCTTATATACCTTAAAGAGTAATACTTTTGGTACATGTTTGATTGTGGTTAGGTTTAGAGTGAAATACCTAGTTGACTGGTATTCATAAGAACAACTTTCACTCCACTTTGCCCAAGTTTTATTTACATCTAGTAATACCCAAAATTAGTTGTGATTAAATGTGTGATATTCCATATTTGAATATGTATTGTCATTTTAAGAAATATCTGAGTTTCTATGAATGCAAAAAAGTAATAAAAAAAATTTGTTTATAAAAGTTTTACGAAGACAGGATGGTAACTTCAACTTTCATAAGTACAACAAAAATTCCAAATTACGCAGGAAAAGAAGCTTCTCAGATATACCAAAACATTGGGATTGGTAAGTGTTTTTGTTTATTAAATAGAAAATATAAATAGCTCTAAGATATTTCAATTTTTATCATTTATTTTTAAATGATATAGATTTTAAAACATCACTCTCATCTTAGAACTGTTAAATGTTCAAAAAATAAGTTCTATACAGTAACCTCAATATACGTTTTAAAAGTATGTATGTTATGAATATAAAACGCAATTTATTTTTAAAATTTACATCTTCTGTACAAAAATTTAACAAAAGTAGTGTAACAATGTACATTGTAATCTTACCTGTTATTAAGATGCTCTTTACTTGATTTGTTTGATTAGAAAATATTATTCAGAAATACTCCTCAACTGTCTGCACTCTATTAACTTGCACACACTGCCATGTAACTTCCGGCACATGCTACAAACTTTAAATAAAGCTTCTACTCCTTCATGTGTTAACATGTATTCTGCAAGCCTATGATTTGATCATTATTTTTAAAACACAAGTTCAGCTGTCAACCTAAATGTGATAGTGGGTGATGAAGCAATCTGTTATTCGCCTACTTTAGCAACACGTTACTAATATTCTGCTACACCATCTTTATTAGACAAAGAGTATTCCCTTCTTGAGGTGGGTGTAGTCTCCCACTTATTTCTGCCTCATGAATGTCACGCTTCTTTGATGAAAGTTCTATACCAGAATCAATGAAGCATAACCTCATGAAGGTTTTAATTACTGGAACATACAAATTTTGCAGGAACTTACTTTAAACATCAGTTATGAAATGTTCTCTTCAGAGAATAGTTTTCCTATTACAGTTAGTGATGAAAATGTCAAATAAGTACTAAGGAAACTGAAAGATATTAGTAACATTTCCCTAACTCAACTAGTTGATAAGTTTTCGGCGACTGTCATACTCTCTGGTATTGGTAATAAATTCTTGTTATTAAGGTCTAAAATTGTGAAATTATTTAATAAGGCTTATCCCTAAATACGATTCAGGCTCTATTCCTAGCCACTAAGAACCTTTTTCCCATCCAAGGACAAAATCAATATACTGCAGTGATTCCTAGCCATTTATGAGCATAAATATTATGTCTGCTCGAAAGGCTATCTTGGGTCCGCTACTGATGTTTCCAGCAAAGGATTATAGTACGTTCTTCATCTTGAATCTATAATTATTTGAAATTTGATCCAGCATGCTATGACATATAACTGTGATATCGACATTCTGTCCAAGGCAATGTATTAACGAATATTTATTTCTGATTGGAATATTTTAGTTGCTGGAAAAGGCATTGCAATCATGATTCTGACATACAATAAATCTCATTAAACAAATTTGACTTAAGGGAATAGTTCTCGGTATTGGTATACGTGAATACCCTTGTTCTTGTAACTGATCTGATTTTTGTTAACGCAACAATTGGAAAAGTACGTTGTTTAAACAATGTCAAGATTTCTTGTTGCTCCAAAGAGCTATGAAGTATTATTTATAGTGTAGCTCTACATAAATATATTAAGTTTAATCAGTGTAATTATCGGTTGAATTATCAGAAGAAACAACAACAACACAAATACCCTGTTCACACATTAACTTTTTAAAACCTTAATCTTGTAATATAAAGTATCAAACCATTTGATTTCCCCAATTTTACGAAGTAAATCTCTACTTGTATGTTTAGGTATAAATGCTGTTTAAATGTTTTAATTTATTAAACATGGAGCTTATGATATAACAGTTTTTCTACTTTACCTGGTAGACATTTTTTCATTATTCTTCCTGTAGATCCAACATTGAAGTGCCCTTATCTGAAAAAGGCATTTCATTTCAACATGTATGCAGTGCAGCTTTGAAAATATTGTTAATTTTCTTTTAGGAGAAACAAGAAGGTAGTGACTACCGTGAAAGATCAAAAGGATTGTGGAGCATGCTGGTAACTTTTTTTCAATATTTTATGAAATTGTGAAGTACTACTTTTCAAAATAAAAAAATGATAGAAATTGCTGATTAAAATTAATCAAACTGTATGAAATTTCCTGAGTCTTTATTTCTTTTTTTTTTTTTTTTTAATGATAGAAGAATTTCTCTTGCTGATGAGTTCAGTTTAGGTTTGAGTTTTTTTTTTTTTCTGAAATCTTGTTTACTGTTAGAACTGCGTAAAATGGTAATTGTTTTCATCAACAGTTACATTACATTGTTGATCTGAATGTCTGTATATAGCTTTAAAACTTGTATTGAGAATTGATAACTTTTCCAAGATAAAGGATAAAGTTATAACTTTACTGCTCTTATATTGTTTATTGATTTAACTGTACTCTGTGTAGATGAAATTGTGGGTTCAACCAAGCATCATTTGTAACAGCGTTTATAACTTTAAAGACCACCTGAACCCTAATTCTTGTAATTCTTCAAACATCTTCAGATGCTTGGATCAAAAAATGTGATGAAACTGCTGATGAAAACGAATTTTTCAGTCAGACGTTTCCTTTAGCATCTTATGTGTCAAATATAGTTTAAGCACGGTTAAGTTATTCAATGTTAAAGCACTACCATGTACTATGACAGGTATAGTTTCCTACAATGAATAGTTTGGTTCTTCATAGTAATTATTAACAAATGTGATTGTTAATATTTGAAATATTTTTTCATCAGTGGAACTTTTCACTTTATAATTTTCTCAGTTCAGTTTTATTAAATACTTTGATTACAAGTTGGTGCTGAAAATTATTGGGTGGGTCTCAGCAGATTATCGTTAAAGAGTGTTCAAATAGCTCCTTTCTTTTGTATTCATATAAGCTAGAAATTATTTCCACATTTGAATCCATGAATCCTAACTGGCAGTAGAGCTTAGGAATTTGGTGGTACTTAGTAATGTCTAGCTCTGTCAGCCACACCAGAGAACCTAAGAATGATTGCGTGATGTAATATGTTGAAACATATTTGACAGGAACCTGAAGCCAATCTCCACTTAACCCTTTTCCAAGCTTATAGTTTTAACTTTCTTGCTACGAGTAGTTCAAAGTTCATATTTCACAACATTTTAGACAGTTACACTTAAAATTTACTGAAACTACTTTATTATCATTGTACACAAATAAACTCGGAATCAAAAACATAGTACATTTTAATACTAGATAAGTTTTAAGTTCTAACTGTTATAAGAAATTTTTTTTTAAATCCTCAAACTCCCCTAGTAAGAATTGTGACATCTACTCTCTGTGTCTTCCCCTCTTCTCTAATTCATTTACCACCCCTCCAAAAGTATAGGATGTAATGTAAATTACTTATAATATAGATATTACTAAAGCAAAGCATAATTTTTATAGCCTTCAATCTTATTTACAGAGCCAACAACTAGAAAATCAGTCACATTTGCCACACCCACCTGTTACGTTCTCTCTTTCACTAATTACCGATAGTTCTCTCTGACATTTTATACAATATTATTGATAACCAATAGAAAAACAAAGTTTCAGTCTATCAAATGACATATTACTTTGTTTTCTGTACAGAGAACTGTCTATTTTGCTTTCAGTTCAAACTTTATTCCCACAGGAAACATGTTGATTACCTTAACCAAATTTTTAACAGCTTTTATCACATAGCTAGAAAGCCAGAAAAAGTCTGATAGTTATACAGTGTCTGTTATTTTTCTGTATTCTTAGATGCATTATTTCATCAAATAATAATAAAAATATTAAGTGTAGTAGCACTAATTCATAGTCTAAGTGCAAATAATTACAATAAATAAAAAAATTTTTAGCAGAAAAAATCAAAATTAAATGTATTTCTGAAACTACATATCTTTAAAAAATTATGTCAAGTTTCAAACAATTTCATCTACTAGTTTTATTTTTGGAACAAAATATGAGGAGAGCTACGTTTTATCCTTGAAATATAAGCATCATGTAACGTCACTTGCTGCTCCTTACTACCACCCACGGCTCCACCGCCCTTGCTAGGGGTGTATTACAGTGAATTGTGAGAGCAGTCAATTGACACCTAAGACCTGTTGACAAATGCAACTCTTACTGTTTGGAGGAAGAACTTGTACATAACGTAAGCTGAACATCTACTTCCTGATAAAATGTCATACATATACTCAGTGCAGGTCCTCTTTACAATATTGATGTGTCACTGAGAATGTCATAAATGAAATGACAGACTAATGAACAACCTCAAGCTATACATGATTTTACTGCCAAACATCAAGGGAAATTTAGTTCTTTTTATATATTCTGCAAAGCCATCAGATGGACACACCAGGCAGACGAGTTGTCTCCATTGGATACTTAACTGTATAATGATACCTTTAAAGAGATTCCCTCCATCTTGAATCTTGATCTCCTGACTAGTCCGATGTGCCCTGTCCCTGCTATTCCTGGGGCACATATGGCTAATTATCGTCTTGCATCTTGATCTCCTGACTAGTCCGATGTGCCCTGTCCCTGCTATTCCTGGGGCACACATGGCTAATTATCGTTTGTGCCTCTTTGCCGCCCATTTAGCAAAACTGCATTCATGGTTCAGACCTGTAGTCTCCCACAAATGTATTTCCTCTTCAGAGATATGTCACACTTCATGGGTTCTCTTTAGATGTATTCTGAAGGGGGCTCATCTAAATAATCCCTTCCCCAGATCAATGTGGGATTTTAGCTCTTATTGGATATGAGGTAAGATATCGTATTTGAAGTTATTATAATTTTCATACACAGAAAATGTATTTCCAATAGATACTTACCTCTGCTTACACCTACCACCCTTCCTTCCTACTTCCAATGTTTTTTCTCGGTGACTTATCTCGAGGTGAGGTTAGACTGTAATCCAAAGGGATACAGCTGTGGCAGGAGAGTGTGTCATGCTCCTATTCGTGGAGGCTTGTTACATGTGTTTTGCATGCTATGTGCAGTTGTACAATGTTAAACACATGGTGGTAGGTGGGAGTATAAAGGTAAGTATCTATTGGAAATAAGTTTTCTGTGTAGGAAAATTATAACTTCTACATTTCTGGAATTTCCTTTTTGTCTAAACTAGAAAACAACTTATTCCAGTTGAATTAGTAATATTAATTCCACTTTTAGTGGTTATATACAGAAGGTATACTTTTTTGTAGTTGGATATCTTGTTTGTTGCAAGTGTGTAATTTATAGTAACATAGCTATAAGACAGACCTTAGGCAACTTTCTTCTGGCTTGGTGTTCTTTATTTATCTTGTTTGTTCTGTTTAGTACGGCTTAAAGTGGCAATTATATTTTGTTTCTGGTATTTGGCATGTTATGTGTCATAAGCATATTTTTATCTTTTAAACTAAGAATGTTTACTTTGATTAACTGAATAAGAACCTGCTCTGCTAGACACTCGATAACAACTATTGTATTGTTAATATTCCACGAGTTAAGTGTAATACACTTACACAAACATGTGTACTTACAGCATGAAAGTTCAGTGACATTTATAATAATAGTCTAGTTCCTGAACACATACCCAAATGTTTCGTAATGAATATATATTAAATCGTAATTCTATTTTCAAAATTGTTTTCTTGAAATTAAGAATTAACATGAAAATTACGAAATTGAAGAGATTGCAATATATTTATGAATAGTTTTTTGCTTAGAACTTCTGTTGTTGCTTGCCATATGGTGAAAGTACTTTAAAAGTCTTAAAAATAGCAAATGTAAATTTACTGGCAGCGTACAGTAATACATGTACTATGGCCATTTCAGTTCACTATGACTAACCTTGTGTGCACTGATAACTTGTGAGTTGTGTTTTTAGTACTACAGATATATGTAAGAAAAGCAAAAAATTTATATGTGTACACTGGAAACTTTTATTTATTTACATCATATTTTGAAATGAAGGAACTGTAGCCTCAATTTTGTACGTCTTATATAACTTTTCTTTCCCACACTTTAAGATGTGGGTGCATTACAAGGGTGGCAGTCAATCCCTTGGCATATGTAGTAGGATGCTGCTAATGAGTTTCCTTCTCTCTGGTCAGTAGGTGACAGATAGCCTTATTACCTTTGGCATAAATACAAATACATGAGCTTATAACGACTTGCATACGTCAAAAATATTATATATATTTAGATGGTTTAAGTATAGTGTGAGTAATAAATTTGGTTATTTTAAGAAGTGATAACTTATTGCAGGTTTGTTTATGTAACTGATTTTGTATCATATGTTGTGTAGTTCAATTGCTGTGATTTGGCGATTGTTATGTTAGTAGAACCTTCTAAGTTTTTCTCATTGTTTCAATCAAGTATTATTGCATCATAATATATAATAGTATGTGGAACATTCTAGGACTTGGTCAGGCTATAGATAAACATCCAAAATGTAATTTGAGATAGTTAGATCTAAACCATGTGGTTGTAAGTATAACCATAAAGAGCATATAGTGGCAATTTTTAAAGAGAAATTATCACAGATTGTATTGTTACAACAGAGTAGTGAGGAAAAAATTTTTTTGTCAGTTGTGTTCTAAAGTAATTGAACCAGCCTTGACATAAAAGAGACAATTATTTCAAGCTTTGGATACACCTGTTGTAACCAACAGCTATAGTGGTGATTTTAAAGTGAAATTATCACAGACTGTATTGTAATAACAGAGGAGAGAGAATAATAATTTGTCTTTTCAAATTGTGTTCTGAAGTAATTGAACAAGCCTGGATACAACGGTGGTAACCAACAGTGTAATGAACTTTTGTATATACGTTTGACATTTTTGTATATTATTTTAAAACAAATGGACTGTGTGCTTTTTCTTTATTGTTGAAATTTACTGCCAACAAGTCAATGGCATCTACTGTAAAGGATCTGGCCCATACATAAAAACCTGACAATAAGTAATAATATATTACAAACTCTCTAAATAAGCTTTATTGCACTGATAATTTGATTTTTTCTGATGTTCATAGGGCTTTCAGTACAGTTGAAACAATGGAAACTATGTATGCTCTTAAAACTGGCATCTTAAAAGAATTAAGTGTGCAACAGCTCATTGACTGTGCAAAGGGAAGTAACCAAGGTTGCGATGGAGGTGATACCTGTGGCGCTCTTATGTGGTTAAATAAAGTTAGTGGTCTGTTATATTGATGATAATAAATAATGTTATATCATACTTATGCAATATAGGAATTGAAATATTTTTGGATATGTTAAATATATCAGTGTGTGCATGGTGTAGTTAGTAAGTTTATTGTGAACCGTTAGAAAATGTTAGTTATTAAAATTTTAATTCAGAAATTCTACTTGTCTATTTACATAAAAAGAGGCATGTAATTTCCTGCATGTGCCACAAGCCTCGAACAAAGCTTCCACCCCTACAAGTGTCAACGCGTAATGTGCCAACCTGTGATGTAATCATCATTAGACAATAGCTATCCGTTTACCATAATTTTTGTGCTTATTGTTTTAATTTTTTACTATGTTATTTGTTAGCAGGCTTTCTTTCTTTAATTTTCTTGATTATATGAAAGAACAATACTAAATTTTATACTTATCAGTTAGAATTTTCATTCTTATAACTGACTTTGTACATTTTCTGTTGTTTAATCCAACATGCAGGTTTTGTCCAGTACCATTTAAGGTTATCATTAGGCCTATGTACCCTTCCCATACCTGGCTCATTGTCTTTCTAACTGATTACAAAAAAAATTACAAAATGGACCACCTCATTATCAGTTTCATGGATTAACTAATTATGCTTTCATGTTCCCAAGTTTCTCACATTCCCAAGGTTTTTAGAACACCTTCACAGGAATCATTCAATATTTTCAGGGCAGCTGGAGATACTGACAGTCAGTGATATTAATGATATTGTGCACCCAATGGTTAGTTTCATTCTGATCTCGGAGCAGGTTTCCTAACCTTCTGCTTCTGTTACTTCAACTGAATTTTCTTGATCACGTGAATGTTTGATTACTGTTGTTTCCATACTGACTTTTGCTATTTGTTTCCCCTTTCCAATGTGGAGCAGGTAGTTCCACTTTCATTCTTCATTGTATGTGTCTTTTGTTTAATATTTCCCATTTATTTGTTGTTGAAGCTCAGTCTCCCTTGTTACTTGAAACTTGTACACCTAAATCTCTTATTTTCAGTTTAGGGATTTCATTTCCATCTCTTACTCCATTTTTCATTCTTATGCTTCATGACCATAAAAGTTTTACTGGAGACACTTGCACCTACTAATTTCTCAATTTGATCCTGGTTCTCTTCCATTTTGTCCTTTGGTGTCTTTGTTTATGGTTGTCAGGTTGCCTTACTTTCTCCCTCTTACTTTCTCCCTGTGTCTTTGTTTATGGTTGTCAGGTTGCCTTACTTTCTCCCTGTATCTTTGTTTATGGTTGTCAGGTTGCCTTACTTTCTCCCTCAATTTACTCTCTAGGACCTGTGTCATACATCTTTTCTTTTTGGTATGTATTTTTGAGGGTATTTCTTGTACATTGCCATCTTGAGTTGATACAGTTCTTCAGCAGTAATCTCTGTTCACTTTGGTTTCTTGGCCCCGCCATTTTCTCCCATGATACAGGGCCTTATGGGTTCATCTTCTCCAATGTTCCTTGTCCTCTTGGTATCCCTGATCCCTATTCTTTGAGAGCTGGCCATCATGGGTCTTGAAAGCCATTTGTTTCTGGAGCCACCTCTGCTTCAGTCCTGTGATAGCTCTGCTCCCTCAATTTGTACTCTTGTGGACTCCCTTTACTTCACTTTATTGAGTTCCTTGAAATTTTTTACTGTACTTCTACTTTCAATCTCATCCTGTTTTAAGTGCTGTAAGTCAATTCTTCCATCCCACTCTGAGTTTGACTGCTGTATTTTTATCATACCTATGTAGGTGGAAAGTTGTTGGCTAAATACCAGTCTGTACCACTTCACACAACTGATTGGTTTCAGATGGGCAGTGTCTCACTCTTTAGTGGATAATGTCTCCAGTAACAGATGATCATTTCTGAATCTCAACATTTTCTCCACCTTGCACTTCCTCTGATTGTCAAGCCACATTCCTTTTTCATTGGATCTGGTGGGTTTTTCTTTACAGGATGAATTTTTCAAGCCTATTATTCCACTGCTCTTGGTGTTTGGATTCTACTTGCCCCTTCCATTGTGGCTTCCTCTGTTGCAACATTCTGTGTCCTTTGGAATTCATCTCATTTTGGGTTGTTGTTTTGGCTCTCTACTTCCTTTATTTACGGGGGCTATCTCGCTTCTGGTATGGGGCAGGCTTTGTCTTTGTGACATGGTGCTTTTGATACCAATGCTCTCATTTCTCTGTCCTTTCTTGTACAAGTTTTTTTATGGTTTGGGGGGGGGGGACTCTTTCTTCTCTTGAGTCTTTCACTCCTCTTGGATGTGTCCATACAAGTCCTCTTATTTAACTTGTAGCCTGTCATTCTCCTGGTTGTAATGGCATGCTCGATCCTACACAACTTTGGACAGCCCCTTTCCCCACTGTACTTAGACTTGCATCTTGGTTTGGGCCCTCCAGGACTCAGAAGTCATTTTGTTGGCTTCTTCCACTGGCACATGTGGGGCTCCTCAGTGACACAGCGATATGTTTGTGGACTTGCAATTCTAGAAATTGGGTTTTGATACCTGTTGTAGGCAGAGCACAGAAAGCCTGTTGTGTAGCTTTGTGCTTAACTTCAAACAAACATAAACATATGTGGGTTTTCATGTCTGTGATGAGTGTAATGCATGTGGCAGTTTGTGTTGACTTTCTACTTGATGCCAACAAATCCTACAATCACACCTTCCCACTGCCTCTATTCCAGTGGGGTGCAGTTGACGATGCCTGATTCTTTCATAAAATCTAATCTCAAGATTAAGGTTTTTCTGTCTCTACATCGTCATTGTGGTAGCTGATGATAAGCTTGCCATCATTTTCTGTTTCATCTGTCTTGTCTTTTTTTAAGATCCATTAAACACCTCTTTTGATTTCTTCATTTCTTTTACAGTAAGGCACTTATGTCTCGAAAGCTCAGGACTTCGTGATGGATAGACTAATTCATTTAGGCCTTGACCCTTCCCACATTATTATTTATGGATAGACTATTTCATTTAGGCCTTGACCCTTCCCACATTATTATTTATGGATAGACTAATTCATTTAGGCCTTGACCCTTCCCACATTATTATTTATGGACAGACTAATTCATTTAGGCCTTGACCCTTCCCACATTATTATTTATGGATAGACTAATTCATTTAGGCCTTGACCCTTCCCACATTATTATTTATGGATAGACTAATTCATTTAGGCCTTGACCCTTCCCACATTATTATTTATCCATCCTTTGGTGTTTTCAGTAGATTTACTCCCACTGTAGGCATTCTATCATAATTGTCTTTCTACAGCTCTTGCTTAGGATATTCTGTGTGTGATGTGGCTCAACGTCATTTTATATGCTTTAGATGTATTTCGTACCCTTTCTCCTTCTTCCTAGGCCACTCCAAAATTTGGGAGGCTGATTAGATGTTTTCTTCATTCATTCTTCCTTCCACTTTTCTCTTTGTATAATAATTTTGACCCAGATCATCTTTGTCCTTCACAGTATATTCATTATTGTCTTCTGGCTTTTCTTGCCTCTAGCTGTTGATGTCTCCTATGTGATCTTGCAGGTGAAGATGTGCAATGACCCCACTCTTTAAAATGGTGAGTTGATTAGTTTTTTTTGGGGGGGGGGGGTTGCAACCACCTTGTTCAACATACATGTATATCTATGGCCAGGTTTGTCACATAGGAATTGCTTACCCAAAATCTACATCAAGCAAGAGAATGCAAAAAAATTAAACCCATCTGCTCCTGCTCACTGCTTACTGGACCTAATTCCAGATGATTACATTTTCTGACAAAGGTCCACGCACTTCTCCAATGTTTCCTACAACATCCCCTCCCCATTTCTTCTATTGGAGTACCATTGGATCCCCAATTCCAAGCTGCTGGGTAAGTTGGTGTGGAGAGTTCCTCATCAGGCAGTGCAGTCCCACTGGTATCAGACAAAGTGGACACATTCCTTAATTGTGAAGCAGGGCTACATTATAAAACAAGCCATTTACAGTGGTTAGGTCCATCCAGATGGATCTTGGGATTGCTGGTCTGGGATGCTACTCTCTTTACCTTGTTTTCGTGGTGAGTATCTCACGTGTTTTTCCGGCATGAAACAGTCTGAGTTATAGCCCTAGCCACATTACATATTGAAGCTCGTCTCCCTACCTGTGAGATAGTGGACAGTTGAGCAATCTGCCATTCCTCCATTGAGTTAGCACTGAGTGGAAAACTATATCTTTTGCCCTACCAACTCGATTGGGCAAAGATTATTCCCCTACTTGAGGTGAATGTGGCCTTCCATCAGTTTCTGTTGCACTAAGCTACCACTGCCTCGTGGATGTCCCACTCCTTTGGCTTTCACTTTCAGACACTGTCTTCCTAAACGAGCTCATATTTGTAATTTCTCTGTTCTGGCTTCTCCATCATCTTCAGTATGGGATTCTAGGACTTGTTGTTGCAGCGAGGTGAAGTAGCTTTACTGAAGTTACTTCAGTATGGGATTCTAGGACTTGTTGTTGCAGCGAGGTGAGTAGCTTTACTGAAGTTACTTCAGTATGGGATTCTAGGACTTGTTGTTGCAGCGAGGTGAGTAGCTTTTCTGAAGTTACTTCAGTATGGGATTCTAGGAACTTGTTGTTGCAGCGAGGTGAAGTAGCTTTTCTGAAGTTACTTCAGTATGGGATTCTAGGACTTGTTGCAGTGAGGTGAAGTAGCTTTTCTGAAGTTAACATTTCTGATACCTGAAAATATATTCTATTTAAATACTTGCCTCTCTGTACCGTCTTCCATCCTTTTACTCCATTTCTGATGCATTTAGTTTGCATCATCAAGAATGAGCCAGTGTTCATGGGGATTACAGCACATTGAGGATGGCTCCCACTCCTATTAATGGAGGGCTATAATCTAATGATGATTACATCAAACATTGGTGCAATACTTGTGTAGGGGGGTGGGAGCTTTGCTCTGTGGCATGCACAAGAAATTACGTGATACTGTGTCGCAAAGATGTATCTATCTGAAATACATTTTAGGGTTAGGAAAATGTTAACTATCAATTATTTATTTATTTGATAATATTGAACAGCTATTGAAGAGTCTAAAAAATGTTGTTTACTATTTTTTCTTCCCAACCAGAAGTTCTTGTTTATTTGTTAAATTCAGGAGTTAATAACAAGTACTACCCTTTAGAGATGTGTCTAAATATATAATACTGTGTAAAGTAATCCAAGATAAAGTTTAGACCCACTATTATGGAATAGCACAATTTATGTAGATACAGCCAAAATAATACATGAAACCAGAAAGTGTAGGTGAAAATAAGAATTGTAGAAAGTTTGACAATCCAAACCTCGACACTTCCAAAGGTCGCTTAAAGCTGAATCATTTTCTGACCTAATATCTATTAAGGACCCCAGAATTTTTTATATAAACAGTTTACATGTTTCTCTCGTACAGAAATGTTGGACTGAAAAGGACATGTAAAAATGTTCGTATATAACTTTTGTGGTGAATCTAATCCTTACACATCTTAAAGTCTGTGTTAAAATAAAGGATTTTATATATTTATGAATATACGTTTACACATATTACTGTAACTATTATTTACAATTGAATTTGTAGTCTTCTTTAGATTAATTATAAAGATATTTTGTCTAATGTTAATTAAAACTTGATAAGTGGTATTGGCATATAACCAAACTCGGTGTAAAGTTTTAAAAGTTGAGTGTGTAGTTTTTAAGGCAAAACTTAACGTAAGTTGCATTACAAAAACTTTTCTGCTAGATTTATATTTTTTAAGTATATTTATGTACCGTTGATATTAATTTACATCTGAATTTCAGTATAATGTTAGTGTGGTGACTGAAGCTCAGTATCCATTGAAGAATGTTGCCCAACCGTGCAAGATTAAAAAGTAGGTTTATTTAATGAGCATGTCTAAAAGTAGAATTTCTGTAGTAAGTCTTGAAATAGTTTTGAGTTGCATATATATATATAAAAGAATCATCATTTGTAAATGGGTAAAAATAAATTTAGCATCATAACCACATGAAAAAAAAAAAAGTTAAATTTAAACTAATAATATAAGGGAATAAACACCAGTTTGAGAAAAGAGCAAAGGATATAATTCCAGACATAAAACTACATGGATAACACCCAAAAACTGTGAGGGATATTCTATCTCTCTCTCTCTCGAATGCAAGTGATAACTATTCATGAATAAGGGGTACACCTTTGTTCTTACACTCACAATACCCTTGGATTCTTCTACAATTCGCTGTACATAGCTGATTGTGTTTTTTCATTTTAGAAGCCCCACCCCCACCAATGGCACGGCGGTATGTCTGTGGACTAACAACGCTAGAAACCAGGTTTCGATACCCGTGGTGGGCAGAGCACAGATAGCCCATTGTGTATCTTTGTGCTTAATTCCAAACAAACAAATAATTTTAGAATTTTTAAAGTCGAAGAGTAGCACTACTTAACCTTCGTGTATAATTCAATATAATTAATTGTGTACACACAGATGGATCGTTAAAATGCATGATTTATTTACAGAGTTCTTTCATTCAACCTGGTATTATGTAGTTGATGTCAGAGTTATCAACTGTTCAGTTTACCTTACATTGCTGATCTGGTGACAGTTTGTCATAGAGGAGAGTAAATTACATATACAGTGTACAGGGATAGTGAAAAAAAAGAACCAGATATGCACTTCAGAAATGGATAGTATTTTTATTTTTCATATGAGTATGAACTTACATTCTCAACTGTCAGGGTTTGTGTCTGAGTGATGTAATCAATTCACAGCTGTATCATGAGTACAAATACTTTTGTAATATGATTTTTTTGTGTACAACAGACTTGTACATCCTACTAAAACCTTACAAGTTTTGTGTAGATTCACTTAGTAAATTCATAATTATTGTCAACGTTCCTCGTCTGATACAGGATTGGCCCGTTGGACATTGAACATTTAGTTACTTCACCCCACCACCTATACTAAAGATTTTATGTCTTTAAACTTACAAAATTATATTACAAAATTTTAAAGAAATAGCACTATATTAATCTAACATTTAATACGATAACAAAACACATACTACCCTTGAAACATACCGGTTTAGTACAAGTTACCAAATCGATTATATTAAAGACAAGTTCGGGAAACCAAGACTAAACTATCTACTTGACGTATGTTTTTCTTGACCTGATTTTATGCTTTAACGGGTATTGAAGATTCTGTTAAATATAGAACGCTTTCTATCGAAAGAATATCATTTACAATACTGGAACAAAATGAAGCTTAAAGAAATACTTGAAAAACATTTTGTACAGAACTATTGTATTTATTATGAAAAAGTTTGTGAAGTTTAAATTTGCTCACATTGAAACCTGTTATAAATTAATTTTTTAAATAAAAGGAAAGCATTATCTAAGGATAAAAATAACATGAATTTATTTATATATATTTCTAATATTATATTTCAAGACTTTAAATGTAGGTTTTGTTGTGAATAGAATTTTTGTGAAACAAATCAATATATATTTTCTTGTGAAAAAAGTTTTTACTGAAAGCTGTAAATGTAAAAAAAACTGCAAAGCTTTGTATAACCATTCTTGTTGTGCCAGGTTTAAAGTGTCATTTTTCTCGAGTGAAATTTAAAATAGTCTACTATTGTAATTTATTTGAAAACGAGCTTTAAGCTGTTACGTAGTTAAGACGGCACTTGTACTAGTTTCATTGTCTTTTATACAATCTTTAATTTCATTCATATTAATGAATTATTTCCAGTGAGAAAATTACTGGTATATTTGGTTACATTGCTTGGTTATGATGGCTCTGTTGTTTATAGTTTATTATCTTGAGATAAAAATTTTATTAAATTACATTATCTTTAAATTCAAATCTTAATTTGAAATGTTTAGTGGACAGTAAAGCCCATATTTTTACATTAGTGACTTTAATCCTATGTTAATAATAAACCATGTACAACAAACATGTTTTTACATTAGTGACTTTAATTCTATTTTAATAATAAACCATGTGCAGTGAATTTGATCATGTTGTTAAACCACTTTTACTCCCCTTAAAATAAAATAATTCAGAATAATAATTAACTGTTGCTCTTTCTTTTCTTTTTTTATACCTGTAGACCTAAGAAAGGAATTCAAATTACTGACGAATTCAGCTGTG